TGCGCAGCCCGCCCCGCCGGGCCGAGCTGGGTTAGGCAGTGCTTCATCAGGCACAAAAACTATGCCTTATTATTGAGTTCATAAATGTTAAGGGAGAAGTAAATCGTAATCATATTTCAAATGAAGGACAAGAAAGACAAGTGCGCGATTAACCTCAGGGCAACGTATATGCTTGAATGCCATTGGTACACAACTTTGATCAAAAACAGCAAGGTAACCCGAACTACTTTTGGCGCTTGGCCAGTATAAAGTGAAGTTCTGTGGTTGCTTGGGGCATTGCCTTCCGCTGCCGTGAGTTTTTGCCACATGATGATACTTACACCATTGAGATATGTGGAAAATCTCAGCTTTCCTATGAATATGCTTGCGTTGTGCAGGAGTTCCATGAAGTATAGGAAAGATGCCTACCAAGCTGAGGTTAGCCAATGCGTTAAGCACTCTTTCGCCTTTACTATTCAGATGCTGCGTTTAGAGTTTTGTGTTTGTTTGGTAAAAATGGTTCATATCATCAGTTAGCTGAGTTTATTCCCGTTAAGTGGGTATGACACATTATTACGTTGTTAAATGTTAAGAAGCCCTGAGACACAGTTTTGTGAAAATGTCATGAAAAGCCCCCGCGGGCTATCGGGCTTAACAGGTGAGGTGAAAAAGAAGTACACAGCTGGGATTTACTGTGCAGGGGACTTTTTAGTCTGTGAAGCCCATGTCTGTTCTGGATTTCCTTTGGAGAATTTCAGTACAAAAAACAAGAAAAACTATTTCAGAGATGCAGGCTGAGTAGTTACACAATGACAAAATTAACTGCAATTATCCATTCCAGCAACTTTACATTTTCTTACCCCCCGCACCAAGCCAGTTGCTAAGACACACAATGTAATTTATATTTTCAGATGATGAAGAAACTCTCTTCTTCTGTACAATATGCCCAGTAAGAGAAAACAACCTTTCACAGGGTTGGGATGTCACAGGTGGCCAAGTACTTCTGTGCAATGGAGGCCAGTCTGCATGTTGGGACCCCCGCTCTAACGGACAGGCCTCTGTACTGATGCCGCACTGCGCTCGGTATCGACGCATACTGTTCTCAACTGAGTCTTCTTCTTGTTCAGAATCAGACTCTGATGAAGCAGCCAATGGGGCTAACTTCTTCTTTTGTGGCTCAGATGTTGTTGCTTCCACAGGTTTCTCTGCAACAACACTCTTTTTCCCCCCCAACATCTCTTTATTAGCTTTATGCATAGAAATGACACTTAATAAACAAGACATACTTTACATACTATCAGCAAAACAAACAAGACAGAAAAAGAAAGAAGGAAGAAAAGAAAAGAAAAACACAGCCCAAATAATATTCAAGTTTCTTCATTCTCCCAATCATGTTGTTGCCCATTATGCTCCAGGAAGTCGTAAAAGGTTTTCCAGATTTCCCAAAACCTATCCAGTTTGTTTTGCAACCTAGCCAGAGGAATGTACTGTCTGGTTAGCCATTTATACTGTAGTAATTTGGAGTGTGTGTTCGTTGTTTGAGTTTGAACCAAGGAGCAAGCCTTTGACCATTCCTCCTGTGTTATAATTAGTTTTAAGTCCAATTTCCAGGCCTGCAAGATACGCGGGTAGCGTCTCGCAGCGGAGAAACTGTGACTCGCTGGGACGACTGGGACTGTGACGGCTGCTAGTGGAGCCTCGCAGCAACTCTGCTTTCTGCACCACAATCTGTGGTGCTGCTGAATTGGGACTACTAAATGAGTGAGACTCAAATATCAGAAGTTCAGAACAAGTTTTAGTAGTTTTTATTTTAACTTCATTTACTTCACTCAGGGTCACAGAGAGGAAACCAGTTTAAGATGTGGAAATATCCACAGGTATGTTTCAGACACTCATTAGGATGGGTCAAAAACATTGAGGTTGTTAACAGCGACAGACTGTGTTTAAAGGAACATTAATATGAAGTCAGTCTCACCACAGATGTTCATCACAGCCTCTGTGTTAAAATCATCTCCTTCCATCCACTCTTGGGCCCTCAACTGTGAACAAATAACATGTAATGAAGTGTCATTCACAGCAGGAGTCATTTTAAAAACATCAACAAGTGTACAAACATGTAGGTCAGTGTGGAGGCAGAGTGAACAGGAAGACACTGCCTCTGTCAGTCATTTCTTGAAAGAGGATTATGTCATACTATATCTGTTCCATGAAAGACTCAATCACAGTCATGTGTATTATGGCTTAACAACTCAACTGGATTTGATGGAAATAGCAATATGAACTAGTCTAGTACAATATCCAAATCTCAGCCAAGGCAAATATTTTGTCAAAATGCAAGTTAAGAATATATTAAAATCTTGCACAGATCTTTGCCAAACAATAAACATTGTGATCATTTTGTGCAGTTCCCTCATTTCCAAGAAAAGTATTTCAATGAACAACTGAATGGGACCAAATGTTTAGATGACAACTACTGAACACACTATTAGTTTACTGAGGCTCGTCTTCACAGAGCTACCTAATTATTGAGTTACTTTACTTAAGAGTAACTTGACCATGCCGCTCGGGTTGAATAGTTCTTGAAAGGTCTGTTCCAGGAAGTGACCAAGAAGTGTGCTCTTAGTAACAAAGTAGCAGTGTCAGTGTGCCGACACCCCCTGCTGTACAGTTCTACATCACTGGGCCAACATGTGGAGTTAGACCACAAGAGTCTTTCATCAGATGTTCATAGTATGCAAACTAAGCTGGTGTGCTTGGTGTAACTGCATTGCATAGAACTGATTAAGATTCATTAGCACCAAACATGGCAAATGGCTAAATGCTGAGCCTCAGATATATAAATGTATAATAAGCTGAATCCATCATATGATATGTTCTGTCCCTGTGACCACAAACAGCTTTTCATTTCCTTACACATTGTTTTTTACTTCAGGAGGTAAATGTTCACTTTTACAAACACAATGCCACCAGTTAAAACACTTGCAATAACCAGTAAAATACATTACTACAGTAAATATTCAGAAATCTCAGATTCAATGAACAACATTGTAATAGTGCCAGCTACCATATATATAGAAATTGTATTTATTGGGATAAACCCCTTGAGATGCACCATCTCGTTTTCAAGGGGGTCCCGAAATCATGATAGGACCCTGTATCTGAGTGAATGTGAGCGGATAGCAGGGTGAATAAGGACCAATAACCACGCATTCTTCTCTCAGGCTGTTGTCACATGAGTCAGCCTGATGTATACGACCCCCCCCCACCACTGTGAAACATGAGTGGATCAGGCTGCACACGAGCTGCTTCAGTTACCTGGATATGAAACTGGAAGGGGCCAGGGCTCGCCTGGATCAGCGGGGTCTGCTCTCAGTCTGCTCTGATTCAGCCTGACCTAGTTTCATCCGGTTTGATGTGGTCGCTGTGCCCCGATATAATTTGATCCTCAAACAGCTGGTGCAACCCATCTACCCCTGGAGAGAGGCAGGGGAAAATCAGTCAAGTGCAAATCAAATCTTACACAAATATACACATGTAAACAAAAATAAATAGATAAGAAGTTATATATAGGACCACATATGTCCAGCATCTTAAAAAATAAACTTATTTAAATCAGAATATGGAATAAAAAAATGCCTTAATTCTAACTAATAATTCTGGGTTAATTGGATTCTACTTGATGACCCATTATAAATTAAATTATGAAAGCTACAAGATTTGTTCTATTCTCCATTTTAACTTGCATGCAAAGCTGAATTTGCAGGGTGTCCATTCTTCCATTTAAGCACTCGGAAGCACTACTAGTACTACTACTCCGTAGTAATGAGTAGTACTAGTGGTAGTAGTAACTCACACACCCGTAATACTATAATGGCAAAAGAACCCCTAATCGAAAACATTTGATATACATAATACATTTTAAGTGACTTTATAAGCTATAGTGGCTCAAGCTTAGAACAACTACACTAAAGATATTTCCTTTCCGTTCATCTTTTCATTTTTAACGATTGCTACAACACTCTAACAGCACCTCAACTTTTCTGCGGACCTGTAAGCCGTCTCCAGATTACTTCTAGGCCGAAGCTAAATGTATTTCCTATCCAAGATATGCTGTTAAGCTTACCTAATTGTTTGTATTTTAAAACACTATGCTTTCACTATTAAAAACAGAAGAGAGGATTAAGGAGAAACCTCAGGAGGAGGAGCGGCTGATCTGAAGCTCGGACACTTATCGGAGGGTGGATGGTTTGATACCCGGCCGCTGTGGACAGCATGTCTATACTCCAACAGCCTGCTCATGTATTTGCCCCTGATGAGGAGGTGGCACCTTGTAAGGCTGCCTCTGCCCCAGTGTTTAGCTGACTTCTGTTGGAAAAGCAATTTCAGTGTAAAAAATACCTATGTGTATAAAGTCCATTTACAATTTGGCTAAATGCTTTCCTATTTCACATTGGCTGGGGTTAGTGGACTGAAAACTGGGTCCAGAGACGCAGATTTGGACTCTGACAGCACCTAGCTTCCACGCAGGTTTCTACTGCAGGTCTTAGCTGAACTCTTGATTGAGAAATAATGAAAATGCAATAAAAGCTAGTCTTAACATGTGATGGCGTTCTAAACATGTTGGTTCCATCTAAATGTTAAATGTACAGCGACGGGCTGGGGAACAGCTCAGTTGTTAGAACGGGCGGGTGTATGCAGATTCTGCTGCTAGTAAGCCGGTTTGAATCCTGGGCCAGCCCAACATTTCAGGCAATGTCCTCCCCTCTGTCTCCCCCTTTCTACACTAAAGCATACAATAAAGGCACTCTCTGGCCCAAAAAATACCTTGAAAAAAAGAATGTACATGGAGCACAGAATGCAGAGGTAAAGAAGCACAGTTAGCAGCTCAGCTCTGGGTCAGGACAGCTCGCCATGCCACACAGGGACAAAGCTCTGGGATGGGGGGGAAACCACTATGTCATGATTGAACACTGAAAAGAACTGGTGCTGTAGTGGAAACTGGGTCAGCCAGTCTCTATGGTCTCAAAACCAGCCAGCCTCAATTTCCATCCTCCACCTACTTGTACTTCATCAGTGAGTCAGCATGCAGCTCTGTTCCCTGCTCTACACCCACTCAGGCAGGACACATCCAGGCAAACCATCAATCACACACACCCCCATCCTGACCAACATTAGAATAAAAGGGGGGGGGGGTGATGTTATACATTTGATAAACTGTTACTTTTTATAATGTTGGCAAATGAATAACAAACATAGCTGTGTTGAGAAAAGCTCGCTTTTTGACTTAACTACAAGGATTTCAATTTTCAATGCTGCATCTCTTAAAACACCAGCTTACTTCAGACATTTATATTACTGTAGTTAAAAAAACACCACCTGTATATTCATGTTAAATGGATTCATTGGAAAGTAAAGAATGCGTGTGAAAAGGGAAAAAAGGGCTGTACTGCCGAGTCATTGTAGTGTATGTTGGCGGAGAGAACACACATTTAGTCATGCTGGTAGGGCCCACTCTACCTTCTGCTATATAATATATATTATAATAGCTCAACAGATCTGAGATGGAGCCACACTAATAATATACTGTATGATAATAATAAGTTATACATTTTACTTTTGTTTCATTACACTAGAGAATCATATGTGACTCAGCCTTAACATAAGAGCAGTATTGAGTTGCAAAATGTTTAGGTTTTCAAATGTAAAACCCAAATGTTAATTTGTTTGAATGATCAATCAATCAATCAATGTTTATTTATATAGCCCAATATCAGAAATGTTACATTTGTCTCAGTGGACTTCACAGTTTGTACAGAATATCAGTATGACAATACGACACCCTCTGTCCTTAGACCCTCACATCGTACAAGGAAAAACTTCAAGAGAAAACCCACAGTTTAAAGGAAAAAATGGGAGAAACCTCAGGGAGAGCAACAGAGGAGGGATCCCTCTCCCAGGACGGACAGACGTGCAATAGATGCCGTGTGTAAATCGAAA